TGTGCAGGGCTCTGTGCACCTGGGAGAGGCTGCAGCTCAGGGCAAGGTGAGTGTGAGCAGTGTTCTGCATCTCACAGTTGTTGTTCCTATGCCAGGCTGAATTAATTTCCAGCGTGCTGAGGTGACTCTGTGAATTCCAAAAGGAGTTTTTATTTGTGAATAAAAAAAGGACACGAGAAGAATTCTCGCTGTAAACAGTCAGAAAATGTCAGGCACGAGGCGTTGTGAAAAAATCCGATATTGTTTTGTCAATAAATTATGCCGTGGCCTGCATAGATCACAGAAATGGGCCTTTACCCTGGAAACAGCAATATTTGATACCCCAGGCAGTTTATTCCCAGCTCAGCTCACACTTGAGTGGATCTGCTGATCGATTATCCAGGCTTTCCCAAGGCTTCTCATTTCCTGCCTGCCATTACTGTGCTCAATCAGCCCTGCTTTGTGCCCTGCCTCGTGTGCCCAGATAAGCCATGCAGGCGTGTTTTATTAGAAAAGCCCTTGTAGATGGAGCAGTCATTAGATAAGAGCAGCAGCTTTGGAGGCTGCAGGCTCAGGGTGAGAGCACAGCCCTGCCTGGGCTGCTCGGGGCAGGGGCACACAGGATTAATCTGCATGTGGCCACCTTATTGCTTTTATTTCACGTTTGTGGTTCTTGCTGAACACTGACAATGCTGCTCTGTTTGCAAGGAGTAATTATGTGTTGCTATGCAGGCGTCTGAATTAAATAATCAAGCTGCAAAAATAACGTTCATTTGTAGTAATAACCTCTGCATTTCCAGGCTGGGTTTGCTTGGCTTACAAACAGCTGATCAGTTTTCTTAATTAATTAGCAAACAGCCTAGAAAAAGATACCTGAGAACGTGAAATTCCACGTGCTGTTGTGGAGAGGGAAGAGAAATAATCCTTGCTGTATTTCTTTAGCTCATGATTTCCAGATGGGTGCATTTGTGTCTCCTCTCTGTTTTTTTTTCCCCTCCACAGTGAATCTGAGTAGTCTTTCTTTTCCTTTCTTTTCCTTTCTTTTCCTTTCTTTTCCTTTCTTTTCCTTTCTTTTCCTTTCTTTTCCTTTCTTTTCCTTTCTTTTCCTTTCTTTTCCTTTGACTATTGGCAAATGTCAGAATTGACTGAGTGTAAAGAATATTCTACAGCAGGGGTGAGGTTTTGTGGTGGAAAACACATTGGAAAGGGAAGATGTTCTGTTCCTGTTCCTCTTCTGTTCATGTTCCTGTTCTTTTCCTGCTCTGTTCCTGTTTCCATTCCTGTTCTGTTCCTCTTCTGTTCCTGTTCCTGTTCCTGTTCCTGTTTCTGTTCCTGTTTCTGTTCCTGTTTCTGTTCCTGTTTCTGTTCCTGTTTCTGTTCCTGTTTCTGTTCCTGTTTCTGTTCCTGTTCCTGGTTCTGTTCCTGTTCCTCTTCTGTTCCTGTTCTTTCCTTGTCCCTTTTTGCTGTTTTTTTTTTTTCTCTGGAATTGCTGCTGTTCCCTGACTCCAGCGTTCCCATCTGTCATCTCCAGCCCTTGGCACTCGTTCCCAAAGCTCGCTGTGGTTTAAACGTGGATCTAAATAGGGCAGGGAGTGAAGGGCAGGGCTGAAATCCCTCGGGGAGGATCTGCAGGACGTGTGTGCAGCTTTGCACAGTTTGGCTCCTCCCTGCACTCCCTGAGATCTGGTTTGGGCTGAGCTTAGCTCTGGTCTGAAGTGTGTCCCAGGGAATTGTCACAAGTGCTGTGGAAATCAGGACATTGCTGCTTTTTTTTTTTTGAAGAGAACTTGCAGCATTATTTTCTCCCCTTTAAGGCAGAGGCTCATTTGAAATAGAAGTCGAGCAGATGCTTGTGAACTGAGATGCTTTAATCCATTTACAGATCCCATCTAATTCTTGTTCAATGTCCAAAACTGATTCATGCTGTTTAAAAGGAACAAAACCCAAAATGTCAGCGAGAACAAAACCCCCAAATGAGCACTTGGTGAGTGCTGCAGCAAAAGACAATATTTTCATTAAAGGAGAGAATGTGGTTTTGTAGCACAGGGAATCGTTTTGAGCTGACTTGAAATTTCAAGCTCTTGCCATGGCTGCAGTTTCTGCAAGCCTGGATTTGGCATGTGACAGTCTGCAGCTTTTCAGATGTAAAGGTGTAAAAAAAGGAAAAAAAAAAAAAGAAAAGTCACACTTTAGGAGGTAGGGGACACTTCTTTTGTGTGCACATGGTTTGAAAATAAATAGTCTGCCACAGAAGTTGGCGCCTTGACACCTCTGAGTGTAGTCTGCTTTATAAATGACACACGTCTTTAGGAAGTTGGCTGACAAAATAGCATGTCTAGGAATTTCTGTGCCATGAGGGATGTAAATGTGAAAAGGGAGACTCTGACAGACGTTTTGTATTTTTAGCAAGATCGAAGCTTCAGGTTAAACCCCACAAAAATCGTCTGTGTGGGAGAGTGGGCACAGAAAAGGAGTTGTCAGGGTGCAGCTGTTAAATGAATTGGACAAAAAAAAAACCAAAAACAACAAAACCAAAGAAATGCAGAACCCACAAGCCAACCAAGCCAGCCCCGAGTGCTTCATTGTCACCGATTTTCCTGTAAACAGTTCTTGCACATGTCATTGGAAATGATATTTTTGTGGCTGCTTTAGCCATTCCATAGGCAGCATTCCAAATCCAAATGGGGACAGGCTGAGAATGGCTCTGATCTTTACATTGGCCCCGTTTGTCTTCTCATTTCTGCATCACTGAAAATGCCTCTGGGACAGAATTCAGGTGTTAGGAGTTAAAAACCTGGGAGGTGGGGGCAGACCTTGGCTTGTCTGAGAAATGCAGCACGTTTGGGTTGGATGTGTTTTGGTTATAACTCTATACATACACACATATATATTTTTTTATATATATATATATATCTCACCTGTTTTGGTTATAGCTCTATACACACACACATATATATATTAAAAAATATATATATATACTTATATCTCTCACCTGTTTTGGTTATAGCTCTATGCATACACACATATATATATTTTTTTATATATGTATCTTACCTGTTTTGGTTATAACTCTAACTTCATGTGTTTTCCCCATAGCTTTAAAAGACACAAAATTTTTGTTTTCTGAGGTGAAAGAAAAGCAATTTCTGGCTGTCAGGGAACCCTCTGTCGTCCCCTTTGCTTTGCAGTTGTGCCCTGTCCGTGCCACCAGTGCCACCCTGATGTTTAATCTCATTTTTGGGTGATGAGCTGATAAAACTCTGCAGAGCCCTGGAAACTCTTGGCATCGTGTGTGGATATTCCTGATCAGCTCTTGTGCAATCCCTGCTATTCCAGGTTTTAGTGCTCATGGGGTGTTCGAGCTTCCAGGAGTTGTGACAATCAGCAAAAACTTTTTTTTACTTTGCCTGAAGGACCCGAAGGGTTTTTTTTTGGGAGGTGGGAGAGGCTGGGGTGGATGGTAGCAGGGGGAAGAGCTCACTTTGAACCCCCCAAATTCCAGCCTGGATTTTGCATTCCTCTCTGGGGGTTCCATGTGCCTCCTTTGCAGTGGGATTCTGTTATTTGGGAAATCTGCGGGGCACAACCCCTGAGAAGCAGAGCACTGATGCTTGTTGTGAACTGTCCCTGTGTGTGTGTGAATGGTTTCTCTCCGAGCATCCTCTCTTGTTTGTGTAACAAAAGAACGAGGGGTTTGTGCTCTCGCTGAGAAACACAAAGAGAATTTGCAGAGAAACGCTGGCTTGATGTTTCCCATCATAAATAAATAGAATTTATGAGCTCTTAGCGAGAGGGTAACAGATTATTTACTTGGACTTTTTTTGTCTTCAGAATTCAGAGAGACTGCTCATAAAAGCTCTGGTGCACACACGAGCCTGCAAGCCCAATTTTTGAACAGCAGGCAGCAGAAATCAGAGCCGCCTCTCCCCCGTTGTCCTTTTGATATTTTTTTTTTTTTTTTTCCAGTGCATTAGAGGAGCTTTGGTCGGGGATGTGTCATTTGCAGAGCCCCGGTCGGGTTTGGGATGGGGATGTGGCAGTGGCTCAGTCCCAGCTTTCCTGGCACAATGCTGCCACTGGCAGTGGTGTGCTGGAATTACACGGGCTCTGCTCAGCACAAAACCTTCCCCAGCAACGTCTGGGTGTTGTTTATTCAGCAGAAAAGCTCCGACAGCCCGGAGAGGCAACCCCAGCCCAGTAACCTGGTTTAATTCGGAATTGGAGATGGTTTAGGAGCAATCTTAGACAGGGATTACAGAAGGAAACAAGCTGCAGTTGTCTCATGGCAGAGGAATGTTCCTTTCCCTTCAGGCCTTTGTTTCTTCAAGTGTTTTGGAGCAGAGGAAGAATTGCAGACCAAGGGGTTTGGGGATAAACTGAGCAGTCTGTAGTGACTTGATCTAAAAATTCTCTGTAAGTGCTGTTTATGCTTTGGTTTCCTTCTAAGAAGGAACAAATTGGTGGCTGGGGCTTCAATGCAAAAAGAGCATTTGGGGAAGAGAGATTTGTGTAAATTTTGCAGTGAGGTTGATGAGCAGTCAGAGCCTGTAATTATTGTGATTGAAGTGCAGTATCCTATTCTTTTGTGTAATAAAGAACATCTATGATTATGTCTGGATCCATCTGTCCTTGGGGGGAAGAAAATCTATTATCTCTTGGTTTCCACTGCTCAGAATGGTTGCACTGAATGGTGTTACTGTGGCTATTCTTTTTTGCATGTTTGGCCATAAATACTTCTTATTTGTGGAAATTAGCAGACTGCACGAAGCCAAAAATTGCAATCCTTTTCTGATCCCTGCCCCTTTGCTTGGGTTAATTAACACGAGTGGGGTTTGCTGGTGAGATGCAGAGAGTCACAAGTGCAGGGTGATGCAGGAGCTTCTCCCTGCCTTTGTCTGGGCTGGGAATCAATCCCCAGCCCTGCAGAAATGCTTCCCTGCCTCTGGCTCTGCCCTGGGGTGCTGCTGTGGGGCTGGGGGCTGATTTCCCTGCCACTAACAGCCAGCGTTGTTTTTTTTCAGAGCAAGAGGGACCATCTGCTGATGAATGTGAAGTGGTACTACCGCCAGTCCGAGGTGCCCGACTCCGTGTACCAGCACCTGGTGCAGGACAGGCACAACGAGAACGGTGAGTGACAGCCCCTGATCCCAGTTCTGACTGAGCCAGGGGTGAGTGACAGCCCCTGATCCCAGTTCTGACTGAGCCAGGGGTGAGTGACAGCCCCTGATCCCAGTTCTGACTGAGCCAGAACAGTGAGTGGGTTCTGCAGAGCCAGCCCTGCCCTTCTGTGCCCCTGATCCCAGTTCTAACTGAGCCAGAA